AGAGATGGATCCAGCTTTCCTGGTGATGGGGAGTGACTCAGTGATTTGGGAGTGCTCTCAGCCACGCGTCAGGGAACAAGTCTCTGCTCTTAGCTGAGCTATGACCCTCTCCTGAAGGTCCAGAGAGGTGCTCCCAGTTGGGAGCACCATTTTTGGTTATTCATAAGTGGTGTAGGTGGCTTAATTTATCTAGTGCTCCAAACACATGTGGTGCTGAGCTGCTATTCGTGCTTGAGCAACAGCCCAGAAATCCATCCACATTTCCATACACAGGGACTGAAAGGCTAATGCACTTGCCTTTCTCTGCTACCCTGTTGACAGGTTATCATCAGCAGAGCTGTCTCCAAGTCTGTATTGCAGAAATTATTAAACCTCTGTGGCAAAACCAGACAGTGAATCAGAAATATGAGCCTTCTTCCAGATTATTCTGGGGTGAAGGCCTCAGTCATGTGCCTTGTGTAGCTGCTGTAGGTCATTTGCAGGTTCACACAGAGTGGTTCAGCATTAACTAGCATTAACCAGCAATTATTGGCTGATTAATTTCACCTAAGCAGAAATGCAGAAGAGGTTGGGTTCAGCTATCAGAGTGATTCTCTGCACACTTGCCTGTGTAATGCCAAAGAGTCTCACCTTCTGATTTTCAAACCTTAAATACCATGCAGGAAGAGATTTTTTTAAATCTTCCCAGAGCCCCCCTCCTTGTTGTTTACGAAGACAGGTAGACTCTAAAGAAAAGTTATGGAAAAGGAAAATTCTTTTTTCTTTTTAAAAGTAACCAGCTAAAACAGATGAGTCCTGGGATAAAGTACTTTGTGGGGAAAAGATTGGACCAGATGTGTTTTTGGGAGCTCTTGGGCACATGGAGGGGATTGTGCTCAGGGGTACTGGCTGCTAAGAGCCTTGGCTTTGTTTATGAACACGTGTAGACTGTACAGTTTCTTAATAAAAATCAAATCCCAGCATTACAGGACCAGACACAAGAAAGTCATGGTACTTTGGCCACAGGTTCCATGTCAGGTCATAACTGACCCTGGCAAACCCAACAAATTCTTTAATGTTGTTATGTATTACTTTAGTTAATTGAACAATGCAAAACCCAAGTCACAGCCCAGGTCTTTCTGGGTTTGTAATTGCAAAAGCTGCTTTGGCAGGGTCATATGTAGCTAGAATTGGTTGATGGTGGTTCTCTCCTCTCCTTCCCCTCTCTTCCCCTCCTCTTCTCTTTTTCTTTTTTCTTTTCTTTCCTTTTTTTCTTTTCTTACATCTTTTCCCAGTGAGATAGGTTTTGTAAATTATTATTTCCTTACAGAAAATTTTGAAATAAAAATAAAAAGGCCTGGCATTTTCCCACCTACCGGTCTTGGATTTCATTCAGAAGTGCTGTGATCAGGAAAAAATTTTGTCTTTGCCCAATGGCAAATTTTGGATTCCAGTGTGGAATATAGGTGTGTTTTATCTCTTGCTTCTGCTAACATGTCCTATGTTTTTTGGTAATGGTGTTCTTCCTGTTTGGGTCTTTTCTGGTATCCTATTAGCAATATACCATACAGTGTTTTAACTAAGAGTGTTAGTTACAGGCAGTATTAAAACATACTGTTTCTCAAAAGCTCTGCTTCTGACACATGAAAAAAGAAATGTATTAAATGGATGATAACCCCCAACCCACGCAGCATGCAAACTAAACCCCAGGTGCTTACTTTGCAGCAGTAACTTTCCTGGTGTTATCCTACACGTCATTCCAATGGCATTAGTGCAGGATGGAAAAGGAATGGAGATTTCAGTTTTATTTGATTATATGATATGGGGAAAACTCGTGTGGCACTGCTGGTTTGAATTTAATACCATGGGCTCAGTTGATGGGGTGTTTCACTGCCTTTCACTGACCTATCATGCATCCAAGGACACAGAAGTTCTGAGCAGACATTTCCTCTGCCTCTCCTCTCTCAGAGAAAGGAAAAGCATTTGCCAAGGTGAATTGCACTCAGAAGAAGCAGCATTCATTTGTGAAGACAGTCTCTCTTTGGAACAGCTTTGATTCGAATGCAACCCTTACTTCTAGTGGAGAAGGTACCCCCATGGTTGCCCATGAGAGCTGGACAACACATGGGTCCTTAAAGCTTCCTGGAGACTGCGGGTGCAGATCATCAGAAACTTCATTGCTTTTTTCTGTCCTTTCCCATGAGGCGGTGGTTGGGTGCCCCTGGCACCCCAACCGCCCTGGAGGTCATGGGATGTTCTGGAGGGATGGGTGGTCACCAGGTGAACAGGCTGAAAATAAATAAATAAGTGCCCAGAGGGTGTATCAGGTTCAGGTCGCCTTGTGTGTGACAGGGAAGAGCTCGGCTTGCACAACAGACAGGAACAGATTTAGTTTAAATTTAGCAGCAGTGTTGTGGTTGGAAAAGGCCGATGAGAACTTGGCACTAAACTCCTCACCTTGTACCGCTCCCCCCAGTAGGGTTGTCGGCCTCCAAAGAGAGCACTGCCTGGGCAAACACCCTTTAAATAACCTTTTCCCTGCTGTGATCTGTTTTGCTGAGCCGTTCTGGTTTCTTAGCATCCACAATGGCCTTTGTGTGTAGCATGTGGAGGGGGCTAAATTCCACACCAGAAGCAGGGGGACCATGAACTGCTGTGAACCTCCCTGTCAGGCAACCATCACCTGCATTTGTGGGTATGTGCCATGACTCCTGTCCCACCCCATGATCCAGGCAGGAGATGCATCTGGTCAGGCTGATCTATAGCCTCTTGAAGCCAATAGCTCCAGGTACCATGAGGCCACTCTGCAATGCACAGGAACTGATCCCACATTCCTCTTCTCCTTGCTGTCTCCCAGCCCTCTCACTGCACAGGGCAGGTAAGATCTGGGCTTGTTGTTGACAACTGTTTATCTTCTCAGCACCACTACCCATGTCAAGACTCTCTGTTTGTCTTCTGGGTTGTGATGCCTCCAAGCAGCTCTAGTGCAACTTCGGGTCAGGGAAAGCTGGCAAGAGATTTTGGTGTCTGGAAACTCCAGATCCCCCATGACTACATCCTCTGTGCAGGTCTGTGAACTTTCTTAACTCAGAGCAAGTAAGGGAGGTTCACTGGAAACTGTGCCGCCTTCAGACTCCTGTCTGTAGGGAAATTGTGGATTCCCCCAGACAGGTATTTTGCCAGTGAGTTGCAGGGGAATATTCCCTTCCCCAAAACTAGGAGAATGCCATGCTCATCTACAGATCCTGCTAGGTAGCTGGGAAGCCAGCAAAGAGAAAAACCTTATTCCCTCTCCATCCTTCCCACCCAAAGGAAATAATCCTCTTAGTTTTCTTCCGCTGGCACATCATAAACACCAGTAATATATTTTTTTTCTAGTTACATCCTGAGCCTCTGACTTCCACAACGAAAATGCCAGTGCTGTCCCTGTCATCACCTTCTGGGGCTGCAAACCTGCTGAACTTGGCTGTTGTCCTCATTGCTGGGATGGGGACAGGGCTATCTATTTTGTGTAGTCCTACAGAAACCACGTGTTGGCTCCAGTGGAAATAAGCAATGGATTTCACTGGAGAGGAGTGCTGCAGACTCTGTCAGCTCATCATGGGTCTTTTCCATGCTACAATGTTTGCTTTAGTCCAGGTGACATAGTTAATGACCCCTCAAATGAGTATCTGCAGCCTTTTTAAAGCCTTTCTTTCAGCTTAATTGGAAAAATAAAAGTCCTTTCCAAAAGTTGTGTGCCCGTTGGTGAAGGAACAACCTGTTTTTAAGCCCCTGTCCTTCCACATTACATCCACCAGACTCAGTATTTGTTTTCTGCCCCTAGGATTCAATTGCAGAATGTGTTAAACACCCTGAAGGAAGAAACTTTGCTTGCTGTCCTCCGTGCTGCTCAGCTCAGGTCAGCAGGGTTTGTAATAGAGATGGACCTTGCAATGGACCTTGAATGCCCTCAGTGCTGCAGGTATCTTTAGACCTTCTTCCAGGAATGGAAGGAGAAAGCTTGGTCTCTCCTTTCTGTGCTAAGATGAAACCAAAGTGGTGCACTGAAAACTTTAGAAGATTTCCTGGTCTGAAGTTTTCGGAAGCCTAATGCTGCAAAATAGGAAGGATCAGGACAGTGTTTTTGTGCACACTGCAATGGCTGGCAATTGTGTCCCCACTGAAGCAGTAGGACTGAATACCAGCAAACTGCATATTGTAGGGGTTGAAGGTAGCTAGGGATGCTGCTGCTCTCCCATTTTGAAGTCCCTTTTTCCTGTCTTCCTCCCTGCACGAGAGACCAGAATTCTGGGGAGAAGACCTCTCACTGACTGTCAAAGCACACTCACTGACAAATGAAAGCACTGAGATTACAAGGAAATTTCTGGTCGTGGGAGCCTTTACCAAGGATATATGAGCCTCCCCCTCCTCTCCTGGGAGTGACCCTGGCTCCAATCCCAGTCCCGCAGCGTGCAACCACGACTGGGGCAGCTTGTGACTCCTCTTGGCCATGGATCTCAGAGCCCATACAGGTGAAATGTGAGACGTAACTTTACCCTGTGGGGCCCTAATGAACACAGGGTGGGCAAAGCTGCTGGAGCATCCTCATGCCATGATCTGCAATGAGCAGCATCACAGTGCAGTGCCTTGGCACGGTGGGGAACGGCACTGAGAGCCACCAGGAAGAGGGCAGAGGAAAGCTGACCATCTTTCCAAAATGGAGCCTTCAGCAGCTGCCTGTGATGCTGCCTTGCAAAAGCGGTGGGGTATGTGTGTAGAGAGAAAAAAAAAAACTATTGAAAATAATAGCACAATGGGCTGTCTGGCAGGCTAAAACTTCAGCAGAAGCTGTGATTATAGTTGTCACTATCTGTTAACCTTCAAAACAGGTGTTGTGCTTTTGCAGAGCCAAAACGGGGCTCAGGCTGCAATCTGTGTGTGATAGGAGCATGGGCTGGAGGAAGGGCTGGGGGATTTGCCAAGTGGGCACGGGCACAGGAAAGGGCAGGCAGTGACTGTGACGCAAATGGACTTGGCTGGCTCTGGAAGGGGGAGCATCTCCCGGCAGTGCTGGGGCTGAGAGGGACACGTCCTCGGCTGATGGCAGACAGTGCTCCAGCCCCCCAGAGAAGGGACTCCTCTTTTGGAGGCTGTTTTAACAGTTGAAGGGTTTGGGTCAGGTTTACTAAAGTTCTCAGACCGCTGAATTCTGGAGTAATAGCTGGAGGAACCTTGACTTCTGCCACAATCCCAAATTTTTACTTGGTTTTAGGAATTAGGACTGTAATGCTTTGATGCACCCTTGGTCCAGTGTCTGGCCCAATGTCTTTCTTTAATGTGCTTAGGGTCTGTTTCCTTCTTATAAGAGCCATAAAAGCTGTTAAATTTAATAATTCTCTTTTTTTTTTCAGAAAAAAAAATTAAATGTTTCAGTGAAACCAGCAAACAAACAAAAGTACTTTCTATTTTTTTTTTTTTTTAATTCCAGGAAGTATTTACATTATTAAACATTGTGATGACAAAAGTGTCTTGGGATCTTGCAAGGCTGTATTGTTAAGTAAGGCAACAAGCAATGTAACCCCTGGCATCTGCTGAAGGTGAGTCAACCGGGTGTCAAAATGGAAAGATTAAGTAGGGCTCTGTAGAATACCTAAAGAATCTGAAATACAAGACTTTGAAGAGAAATGTCAGGGATGAAGATCAGAAGATTGTGAGGTGTTAACGATTGGCAATTGGCATTGCTTGCAAAGCAAAGGACTAGCAGCCCACTTAAAAATCTCCTTATCTCGTCTAACTTAATGTAATTAGCTTTAAAATCCAAACCTGAACAGGGATGAAAACGTGTTTATACCACATATATGAACAAGATAATCTTGTGCCTGAGTTCCACCGTGAGACTCTGTGTCGGGCTATCTGATTGCTTTTTAAAATTAGATACACCTGTATCATGCCCTTGTCCCAAATAAGAGCAACTGAGAAACATCCCATGTGGATGTGCGTGACACTCATCAAGCAGAAATAGCTGATTGTTGACATACTAACAGGTTTTCTCTAACTGTTGATGAAACTCCAGAGTTAGTATTTTTTTCTTTTTCCTGCTACTGTTTATTAAACAGACGTTGGTTTGGGTGTGAAGTCGGCAGGTGTGGAAAATCTGTTTTTATCATCAGAGGTGGTGCTGCAGGGTATTGTCTCAGTTTGGGGTCTTTTTTTTTTTTTTTTTAATACTGCATTTTGGAATATTGCAAATTATAATGCGATAAGCGAGTACCCATTAACAGTCCCCTGGCAGCATATCTTGATGATCAGAGATGTAATGCAAATGTGCCTTCTCACCTCAGGCGTTCTCAGACCATTCACCTCCCACCCTGTTCCTGCAGGTGGGGGAGTTCACACCCAAGGTTATGGCTCAGGGTGACCCGAGAAAAATTGCTTGTCATTTCCTAAGCTCTCTGCTGCAGGACAGAGGTGGCTGTAGTTTGTCTGTCTGGGGAGGACAGCCTCGGTACAAGGGGTTTGCAAGCCTGGCTCGAATGCAGCGCTATTTCCCAGCTGGAGCTGGGAGGGCACGCATAATATTTAGGAGAATGCTGTCCTAGAGCCAACAGGCACATCTAGAAAAAAAGAAAGAATAAATCCTCAAAGAAAACTAAAGACAGAGAGATATCAATGCAAACAGGGCTTTGGTTTTACTTATTCTTAATTATCTTTGCACTTGCAAAAATCCGGGGGTGGCTGCACATCAGGCTTTGGGAGGACAGAGCTGTGAAGCAGAGAAGTTTCCATAAAGCTGAGGAGAAATGGGGTCTTTGAGAGAACATTTGCTTTAAAGCAATGAGCAATGCCTTCTGTATGGTGGTGGGGAGAAATTTTATTACAGAGAAACACAGATTGAAGTGTTTTCTTGGAAAAGAGAGCTCTGTTTCCCTGTTGCAAAGCATTGGATCTGTTTCTCTGAAAAGTTAAATGTGAAAGGGACTTGTGTGGAGTTTAACCTGCTGATCAAAGTGGGTGTCTTCTTCAGGCAAACAGCTCTCCACATCTCACTGGCTGCGCTGATTCTGTTTCCACTGAACACAGTGGGAATTGGGGCACTTTTCCATGCTCCTGTGTCCTAATGTGGGATTTCAATCCCACCCCTCAAGTCACAGACAGTTTTAAAGCAGGTGTGATGGTTGAGAGATTGAAAGTGAGTTTCGTCTCCATATGGTAAAAGGGCTGTTGGAAAATGCAGAAATAACTGCAAAAAGCAATTGGCAACATGAACCCCAGTCATTCCCTGAACTCGGTAACCTGCCATTGCACGCTCCATCTGGGAGCGGTGATTATTTCAGAAAGTTCAGGACCAAAAGGGGATTTATCTTTTCACCTCAAGGAATTATGTGCCTTATTTCAGCAAAAAAATGACAGATATATACATATATATATATATATAAAGCGTTTCAGTTATTTATAGAGACCCTGCTCCATGCCTGTTCCTGATTTGGATAGAAATTAGATGGAGTTGTCTGTTTATCTTCTACTTCTTTCACAAAATCTTTATTTCCTTATACTGGGGGCTAATTACTGAGGCCTATGTGAAAATAGAGGGGAGAAGAGTATTTTGTGTGAGCTGTGGGTGTTTGCAGCTGTTCTGGATTGCACCACTTCACAGCCTTATCCCATGGTTAAAATATAATATTAACAAAAAATTATTACTTCATCACCACAACTAACTAAAAAAATTTACAGATTAGGGCTGGTAACTTTAAATTAAAAAGCAGATTGAATTGCACTGGCCCTAATTAGGACTTCCTTCATCCTTTTAAGTTTGATAACAAATGTTTTTTCGAAGAGCAAAAATCTGAATTATGGGTCACATTTCTCTAACCCCCCAAATATTTCTTACTTGGGAAATAAGGGGAATATTTTCCCCCTTTTCTGGATATGAGAACAAGTGAAATCAACAGGTCCTATCTGTCTCTGCCTTGGTAGTGATGATATTAGCAATTTTTAGATACTTTGTTTTTAATAAATTCTTGCAAAATATTATTTAGAGTACCTCCTTGAATTCTTTAGTAGTTAAATCTTGTATAAAATTCTCTGTTATTACTACCCTTAGCAAGTGTCAGGCTGACAGATTTATGCCTATTTGATCATTTCCTTTACCACGTCCAAACATTGCAACAGTATTCGCTTTCTCCCAAGTTTCTGCCACTTCTGAGCCCAAGTTACCAAAAGCAGCATGCAGGGGAACTTCCTAACCTGCACTTTTAGTAATCCTGGTGCCACGTATTAGGTTGTTAAAAAGTTACTTTAGTAGTGACTGTTTTGCTTCCCTTTCGATTATGGCCCGAGTGGAAAATATTCATTCTTTCCTTACAATATGAACCCGTCTGGTTTACTCCTGGGCAGGGAATGGAAGTATTTGTTAAAGACTCCTGATCTTCTGCTTTATTACTGACTATGCTGCTCTTACTATTCCTGGGAGTGTAGTATTGGTAACTCTTGGTCCCAAGGGACTCAAACATCTGCTCCTTACTGTCTTTTTCTTCGCCCTTATGTACTTCCTTGCATCCCTTTGCTTTTTTATTAGTTTTGTATAGCTCCAGGATGTATTTTCAGTGTTTACAACATCCTTTATTATGGCTTGTTTTGCCTCATTATCTATCCTAGATTTTTTGAACCATGCTTCCTTACCCACAGTTTTACTTTGGTTTTGTCGTTGTTATTTATTTCTTTTTACACCTAGCTAAAAAATTTTCAATTACTCATTTCAGGCATCACATTTAGTCTTCAGTCCTTCCTTACAACTGGCTGGTACTTGCTTCAGCTTTGTGAAACTGCCTGTCTTGAAATACCATGTGTTTTTAACTGAGACAGGGATCAAACATAATCACTTCCACCTTAGTTACCGTTAACTTTTACTTCTTGGTTAGAAAGTTGTCATCCATGATTTGTAGAAATTCCAGAGGAGTTAGTACTGCTAGCAGGAGATTTTGATATATGTCATCCAGGGTCAATTTTCCCATGGCAGTCCTGCACCCATGGTAGATAAATGTCTTTGGAGCCGCCCCACAAATATTGAGGGTGGTTTAACATTGGGGCAGGCAGCCGCTATAACCTCATTTTGTACTTTACCCACCTGGACATGATCAACAAGCAGTCAAAATCATTTGCTCCCGAGACATCACTGCTACAGTATAAATTTGCACACCTGATGCTCCTCTGGATGGCTACGGTCACTGCCTCCGCCTCACTCATGAAAGTAGATATTTTCTCTGGTTTTCATCAGCATGAATCAAAAATAACAATTTAACAGTGAATTTTGAGAGCTATTTTACGAATGTTGATGAGTGTTTTAAATTGTTCCTTCTAGGTTGTACTTTTGAACCTAAAACCTGTGTTTCCCCACCCTCAAAATATGATTTTGCTCTCTCAACAACTTCAGTTGTAACATCTATAAAGGGCTTTATCTTTTAATTTCAGTTTTCTTTTAAAAGTTGTGGATGAGGGACATACAAGTTCATTGCTTTCAAAAGGCTGTTTTCTGAACTGTGCTTTTACAGACTTCAGAGAAAACACATAGTAAAGAGGGAAGCAATGACAAGACCTTCAGAGGTTCAGTTCCAGTTGGTGTGACAATCGTGCTCCTCAGCAAAGGCAAGAAGAAACTCCGTGTAATCAGAAAAAACATATTGAGAAATTTAAGTGATCCAGAACAAGAGACATCCTTTTGCATTCTGCTTTTAGTGATTTGTAAGCTCAGGCTTTCACCATCTTTTTGGGTTCAGCAGAACTCACAGGGGTGAATTTACAACCTTTCAGTGTCCATTTTCAGCATTCAAAACTGCTGATCCAGAAGGGGACACACGGGAGAGGGGTGACATCCTTGGGACCAGGAGGCCCCATGGAAACACTGCTGTCCTCAAGGTGGTATCTCTCAAGCCCCATTTCCAGGGGCTAAATGTGACTGAAAGACAAATATTGACCTTTGATGGAGTTTGGAGAAATTCATGTGGGTATTTCCAAGAGTTTATGAATTAACCAGAAATGGAGATAAGTCCTAGGCTACCTATTTCATCAGCTAAGAAACTGTTGACTGAAGCCTAGCATGAGCCAAGTACCTACATGCATGGTGTTTCAAAGAATTAATCATATCTTCAGATGTAGAACCTACTAGTTAGTTTAATTACTGTCCTTTTTTTTTTTCTTTTTCTTTTTTTTTTTCCAGTAGCTAAATGGATCCCATGAAAATTCCTTTCTTTCTTTCTTTCTTTTTTTTTTTTTTTAATAGATGAAAGAGAAGCAGGCTTCAAAACAGATAATGAATTTCTTCTAACTCGTCTGGAGACTGAAGAGCCATAATTCTGATTGATCAGACATGGACTGCTTCGGAGAGGCACCAGATGTGATCCAGATTTTAAATAGATGCTGCTACTGTCAAAATGCATTCGCTCCCTCCTGGTGTAACAAAGTGAAGTCCATCTGTCTGGAGTTGTGCACTTTTTTTAGGGGTAATAACAGTTAGCATCAACAATAAGCTTTGTCTCATTAGTATCACATAATCCCTACTACCAAGTCCCCAGTTTCTGGTCCCCATATTATCTGCCATGGAAAAAATAAAGACCACAGCAGGAGCTAAGAAGGTCAGTGCATTCTCAGGGTAATCAGCTGTAGTAAATTCAATTCTGACAAGACAAGGCTTGCAAATGTCTGGGGAATTAAGGGATCATCTATAATTTCATATGTTGAGTGGGAAAGTGTCCTTCCAAACATTTATTAATTACAGATGAGGCTGTGTATGGCGCTCATCCTTGGAGAGATTTCTTCTGAAGCAGAGCAAGAAAAATAGATTTAACTGTTTGCTGCTACTTCTAAAGAAAAGCTACTGATCTTTGCATTTGGCCTTACAGTAGTTTCAGTCAGTATTCTTTCTCTCCTGGTGTTTATTGCTCTGTCTTAGCAATAGAGGCCTGTCACCTTTTATGAAACTTTTTGTATAAAGGTTTCCCACTGTAATCAACGGAGAAACTTGCCTTGGCTTTAGTCTGGCTTAGTGCCATCACTCCAGGATTTGCAGTGCTTAAGAAGTAACAAGTAAAGAACAACTGAAAAAAGAATTTCACATTTAGAACTGAAATTTTCTCTTGAAGATCTTGGAGTACTTTAGGAAAATGACTCCCCTTTGAGGTTTGTGTTGTCCTTTCTGTTTTAGAGATGAGGAAATTAAAGCATAGGGAGGTCAGAAGCTAACGCTTTCCAACTTGGGCAACTGAAGGTAAGCACATCCACACCTTTCTTCCTTGAGAGGAAGTCCTCAACACTTTCACACTCCTTTTTGCATCCATTTTTTGGAAGTGTTGGATATATCCCACCCAAGACATCACCAAAAGTCACTAGCATTGCTGACAAGGCAATTAAGTTGTCTTAAAAGTAAGAGATTCAAAGTGTGTAGCTTATTTATTTGTCCAAGTGAAACCAAGACTGAGGAGGAGAAATGAACACAAAATCCACTGGGGACTAAATATCCAAGGGGAAAAAGAGCTATTGAAGTAAAAGAATAAACCTGTGATGAGAAAGGATTGATCTCAGTTAAACACAAATAAGCACGGATTGAAAATTAGGATGAGGTTTGTAGTGATCAGAGGAGTGAGATCTGGGGACAAATGGGGAGCTTGGGGGCAAAAAATGTCATCTAGGTTGAGATGGACTTGGATCAGAAACTAGGAGGGATGGAGAGATACTGCATCAGCACTTCCAAGGGACTGGAGTTGGTAGTTCAGCATGTCCTCCACCATGTTGTGTTCACAGTATTGCAAACCAGTTTCTTAACCCCTGGACACACATAAATGTCGGGACGAACTGATCTTCCTCCTTTCAGGGGCCCCTGGGTATTTCTCCTTTAGGTTTTAGGTTATTTGGGTAGGAAAACGCTATTGCTGCCACAAGAAGAAAATGAATACCTGGTGATATCAAATATCCCTGCAGTGCCTCGTATGCCAGATTGCAGCTATTGTATGGAGAATTTTCAGTTCCTTTTTGTGCCTGGCGGCTGATTGAAAGTTCATATTATTTATGGCAGAAAACAGCAGTGTACTTTTGAGCCTGAGGAAGCTGGGAAAGTGCAGTGGGTGTCAATCAATTAAGCTATTCAACTTATTTATGAAACAGGACAAAACAATGTCTAGGATATGAATTCCCGTCTCAATAGGATCCCCCCTGATATAAAATGTCAGAGCTGAAAAAGGGTCAGCTCATGACCCTTGAATATTCTTTTAAACTATTTGCAAATCAATACCTCTTTTCTGGGTTTGTTCAGGGACCATCATTCCCTTTTATTATAAGTCACGGGGCATAGACTGCTTATCAGGGAGTATGGAGACAGATCACTGCACTAAAGCAGCAGCTGGCTTTGGGGACTGAGCCTAACTCCCATTTCTTGGTGGGGGCTCACTTCACTCTACTCTGATGGTGCAAAGGCTTTTAAAGTGAGTATAATTATTGGTTTTGCTGACTCTTGGGCTCCTTAATATCTGCTGAAAGAGAAAAGAAGTCCTTCGCCATACATGCAGTTTGGGACTGCCTCCGTCTTACGAGTGCCTCTATCAGCCGTGAAGGTCATGTCTCATTTTCTCTTCCTTGTTCTTTGTGTCAGGAGGCCCTTCCATGTCCCTGTGTACCTGGGTTTTGGGTTTGTAGCTCCTAGTTGTTTACCTCTCTCTCTTAACAGTTCTGCTAGAAATAACCTGTTTGGTACAGGTAGGGCTTGAATGGACAGATGGCCTGATCCTCAGCTGAGCATCTGGCCTATTAAGCTGTCTAAAAAGGCATCATCTTTACAAATCCCGGTCTTAATCTCATTGCCCACTGTGTGACCCGTGGGGGTTGCAGATCAGTGCCAAAGAGGGGAAGAGGAGGAGAAGGAGGGCAGCTGGAGGATCCATGGAGTCAGGGGGAGGGAGGTGCCTGCAGGGCAATTTGGCTGAGTTGAGTTCTGGGGATGTGACCATTTCTCCTGATGAGCACTTGGAGAAGGAGCTCTCCTGCAAGGAGGACGTACCCAAAATAAATCCTTGAAGCAGTTGGTCCAGGCCCTGGGGTAGGTTTACCTAGAGGGCCTCCCTTTGCATCTTCTTGTGGCGTCTTCTTTCTCAATGTAAAAACATGGAGAAAAACATCTTTTCAGCAGCACTGGGGCAAGCTCAAGTCCAGAGAGGTGAACTGAGGATAAAACAAGAGAAAAAATACCCAGTTGCCTACTGAGGTTTATCAATAAGAAGGGAGCATTTTGACAAAGGCAGACAAGGAGGACCACAGTTCGCAAGGAAGTGAGTTGTTCATTGTTTAGTGACCCCATCTTCCGACAGCATGCCATTCCTCATGGGAAATCAATGTACTTCTTGTCTGGAAGGCCAGCAGTGGGGTGTATCCATAAAACCCCTGTGAAAAAAGGGACTCTTCCTCTCATTTTGCCTGTTATAGAACAAGGTAGATATGTGATAGCGTTAATGGCAGGTGAAAAAGTGAAGAATTTTCAAAAAAGTTGTACCTGCATATTACTGAGTGACCCTGAAACCAGCATTGAATTTGACTCTGATCCCTACAACTATGGGCTGGTTTTGAGATAGATCAGGTCCAAATGTAAAATAATTTAGAGCAGTCTTGGATCAGATTCTTTTAGAACTAAAGGTATTGACTATTTGAGTTCCCTGAGATTTTTCTTTGCAAAATCCAGACTAATTCCATAAAAAAATGAATAAGCACAGCTGCATTAAGTGATTTATGGTAACTAAGTATAGAGATGGTCCCCTTCTGTTCTTCAAATCTATTTTAATGTATTTTTAAAATTTCAAGGTAATAATCTGTTTTTCTTCAACCCACTTCAATACCTGGAAAAGTGAATAGTTCTGATATTTTGAATTTGTGCTGCTGGAAAAAATGTTTCAGTGTAAGTTTCCCCTATGTCTGTAAAAGAAAACTTGGACACTACTTCATTTGCAAGTTTGTTTGCACTCAGTAATTCTGGTGTGGGCCTGTAATGATGTCTGGTAGGAAACATGAAACAAAATCCCCAAAAGAGTATCTCATTCTTTAGAGGTTTTTTAATAGAGTTTTATTTTAATTAGTGAATCTTGGAGAAATTACTGTTCACTTGGATCTAAGATGTGCAGTGAAATCCTACATCAACCCAAAAGGGTCAAAAGGAAAACAAACCCCCTGGCTGTGATCTGGACTGTAACACAGGTTGTTGTAGAGACCCACTCTTCAGCTTCAGGCCAATCCTTCCAAATTCTCTTGTTTCAGGATTCCATCTAGCAAAGTTATTTAGTGACATTCTTAACTTTAAATGCACATAGAGTTCTGTAAAATATCATTCAAAAGGCCTATTCACAGATACAGCTTAACTCTGATATGCGTAGGAAGGTGCTACAAGCATATTTCCCCAAAATAATCAATCAAAATTGTTCAGGATCAAAATAAAAAATCAAGCAGCTCATTAGCTATCAGTTCACAATTAAGGTAAAGGAAGGAAGTCCAAAAGTAAGAAAGAAACACCTAAGTTTTAATTATAGGCATGTAACCAATATCTTTAATGTGACATTCACTAGAAAACTTTCCAGATTGCTTTGTCATTGAAAAGTGAAATAAAATTGGGTGAAAACATCTCAAAGACTGGAATATGAATATGAAAAAGGAAATTTCCAGTCAGTTTGTTATTAATAGACACTCGCCACACAATACTTCTTAGAAATAGATTAGGAGTTGAAAGTTCACCACGATGTAGCTATGAAAAAAAAAAAAAAAGAAAAAGCTGATGAATCGCAGTTGCTTCCATCTAAATAAAGAGTAACTAACCAAGGAACCATCTGTCGGTGTATGATTACCAACTTTCTTTTTGTCTTTCAAAACAGCCTGAGAAATCAAGGGCACTGGGAGTAGAGGGGAGAGCACACACACGCTGCAGGCTTGCCAGCAGCCAGCCCCAGAGGGTCCGGTTTGATCCTCGCCTTTTTCTCTTGCTGCACTAATTTCACACTGCTGGTTTTCATCTGGCGTGCCTGTATATTTCAAATACATGCTGAACACTAACAAGGCTTTCCTGCAGTAAATGTGGCTAATTTTGGTATAGTTGAGAGCTGAAAAGTAAAACTTTTCTAAGAGAGGAAAATCCTAAAGTCCTCTCAGTTTGTGAAATCAACAGAATAATATTAATTCATTTTTTCCCCCGGTTATTGAATAGTAAAAAGCCTCATATACCCT